CTCGATCTTTGTTGCATTTTTTTATTTTTAAGAATTTTAATCGTAATGTTGAAGCGATTGAACTCGTGTCCGTACGTGCAGACCTTCCGGGTTAAACCGCACGGCGTTTTGAGCGGAGAATTCAGCACTGAAATTCAGCTTTGCATGGGAAGAGGACTCTGCACGAAATGCAAGAACACAAACAGTACAAGTAAGTCTCATGGTATCAACAATGCTTCTGTCTTGATGCTGTACTCTCATTGTTGTTATAAATGTTTTGTTCTGTTTGTTTTGTGTGCTTTCAGGTTCCCACTCATATCCTGTGCCTCAACGTGGCGAGGCTATTGTTACGTCACATAGCTTATTAAACAGGTATTGTTATAATGCCATTTCGGATGTGTAATTTGGCTGACCTGCTTTTGTGGACAAAAGACAGCATTTGGAATTAAGGAAACCTTGACTGGACGTAGATGATAATCTTTGCAGTTCTGTATGACACACGTAGGAACATGTGTTCATATTTCATGGTCCTATAATGATTGTCCAAATTAAACCTAAAACATGCGTCTCCCCGGCCATGTCCAACGTCTGTCCGCCATTTTAAGACTTCGCCACATAAAGTTACGATAAGAAACTAGTTTATTACATAAAATGTCATGGATTTATCCGCCAAAATAATGTAAGTTTCTGTAAAGCGGTATCCTTTCGAATATCGGAAGAGTTCTTGGGACATTTCGCATCTTCTGAAAGTTACGAAGTCGGGGAGAAACTGGAAAAGACAATAACTCATTTCCACCATCATGTGCTAGACGACGTTTAGGCATATGTTGTTGAAATTCGGATCGTAAACTGAAGGTTCTTCAGAAATAAGGCACAATGATCACAAAACCGCAAGTCAGAGACGGGAATTATGAGGAACATAATTAATTATGCTGAATTAGTGAATTTATGAGAGCATGTTTCCTTAGGCGAGTTGGTTTTAGAAATTTGGAATTGGATTATCAAACAAAGGGCGCGGTTCCTGTTACATTTCAATTGCGCTGTGTAGCATGTAAAGGAAAATAAAACCAAGAAATTTAATTTTTCATCAGCAGACCTCCTCAGATGCAAAATATTGACATTTGGAATCAAAATGTTCAAAACACGGAAAATAATTGACACAATTTCGTGGTGTGCAAATATAGAAAAAATTACCCCCCCCCCGGCCGCCTTTTAAAACACTTCCTTATATTCCTTATATTTGTGAGTGTAAATCCAGGTTTTCAACTTGGGTAATTGGCAGGAATGTGCCGCTCTCTGTCCAAACAGGATACGCCATTGGTAAAGTTAATTTTAAAATATTTCCTCTTACCGAAATTCTTCCTCCATGGTTTACCCTGGACATTCCATGCCCTTCTATATATATTGTAACATTTATCGATATTTTGAGCACTTATTGGCCTCTTTTTTATGGTTGTTATTCGTGGGAGCTGGCGTCTCCTGATCAACAGTTCGCCATAGATGTTGAAAACTGTCGTAGGTTTCTGTCTCCCACTTACGGAAACAGAGTTCTTGCATATAGTCGTGTGCGACATGCGATTTTCTTTGTTTGCAACTGCCTCAACACTTTTCATGAAATATCTTCCAGCGTCGCATTTGAGTTTCAACGACCAGCGCGCGATTGGACGGGACGGGCGGGTTTGTTACGGACTACACCTGCATATGCACATGACAATAGTTAGGTGTATTTTCTTGATAAAGCGTTTCGTTGTGAATTGCTCAATACGCGAGAAGAGGGACGAAGTGACGGGAGGTTGGAGGAAACTGCATAATGAGGAGCTTCATATCTTGTACTCTTCTCCAAGCATAATTAGAATGCTCCAGTCAAGGAGGATGAGGTGGGCAGGGCATGTAGCACGAATGGGGAGTACAGTATTGCATATATATTGGTGGGACAGTCAGAAGGAAATAGACCACTGGGAAGACCAAGGCATAGGTGCTTGGACAATATTAAAATGGATCTTAGAGAGATAATGGGATGGTATGGATTTGATTGATCTGGCTCAGGATAGGGACTAGTGGAGGGCTCTTGTGAACACGGTAATGAACCTTTGGGTTCCATAAAATGCTGGGAATTATTCAGTACGCGAGCTCAGAATGCTACTGGTTTCAGGCGATCGTCGCGTGCCATCGTTTCCTCCTGTGGGAGTATAGCCTAAATGTTTGTTCGTCTATTGGACCTTGAACACGTGGTTATCTCCAATTTCCACTTTGGCAAATATTGATTAGTGTAAGATAAGAGCACACACACACACACACACATGCACAAAACTTGTATTGTGCACTAAATTCCCTTATCACAAAATCTGGTTCAGTGCTGGCAGGACTTGATGCTCTTGCGACCGGTGCAAACCAACTGGAACAGAGAGGTTACAAGGTGCGTAGCGTTTGGAAGATTGATAATTATTTTGTGAGAACTCTCCAGCCCGTCAGCCATGGGATACAGGGTCTCCGGGCGGTGGATGATTACCATAATTCTTGACAATTCTCCCGAGTGTAAATCATCCGAGACCCAAACCTGATGACACATGCATTGCCGACGTTAAGAGTACATGGAGCTATAGTTCTGTTCCCTTGTAGTTCTTCGATGTTTAATTAAGTGTAGGAACACACTACGTTCGTGAATTTAAGGTTTAAATAAAACGGAAAGTAGCTAAGAAGAGTAACACAGATGATCGCCGGCAAAAGTCGCGGAACTGAAGCAGTTAGCGGCAACATGCGAGTTGCAACGCGATTGGTGGCCTCAGTCTCCCCTCCTGCTGTGACGTCGTCACGAGTGTACTGGGACTTAACACGTAATGAATTGTCACGAGACAGGCGCAGTAAGGCAGGCGGTGTAGTCCGTGTTGCGTGGGTTGCAATGCAGAGAAGTGTGAGCAGATATATGCAAGGTAAGGGTGTTCGTGCCAAGACAGGGACCTTATTTAACAGAAAGTTTATCAACTGCATAAGATTATGTTCGAATCTAAAAATAATTACGAATCATGAAGTGAGAAGATCGTGTGACAGAATTTGGCAGTGTTCCTTTGGAAAGTACGAGGTAGCAGGCGTACAGAGCGAGAATAGAACGTAGGGACTTCTTGAATATGAAGGAAATGCTAAACGTCGCGATCCTGATAATGAAAGAAAAAGGTTCGAATTTGTTTTTGAATGGAAAAAAGAATATTAGAAAGGGTTTGTATGCGTCATTTGTTTATAGATCATAAAGTGAACGAGCAATATGCAGGTAGTGTTTCAAATTGTGTTATCCGGTGAGATACGTGACGGCCTTCATCAAATTACCTCTCCGCCATCAAGGGGAATACTTCCCAAAGGAATTTCTTTGTCTGTCTATGACAAATGACTTGCCGTGAAGAAAATGTGTTTCCTTTAACTCTTTCTGTGGCGTGTACTTGAAGATACTGGATGGAGTAGCCTTTGCTAAACGTTCGTATCCGCTCCTCCATTTTGTCAGCAGTGTATATGTGGCTCTGTAATGTAGTATTTCTATTGTTCGTTACGTGTGCCTGCAGTGATGGTATCTCCCAATATCCCCAGACTCTCAGGCATGAGCAGATGAACTCTTTGTGTGTACGTCTGATTTACGTAGGTCTGATATTCAGAAAAATTTCATATGTGACGAATATTTTTATAACTAATCTAAGGAACTGAGTATTCTTGAGAAGTTAATAGGCACATCTCCAGTGAAGGAATTTGCGCCCTTTTTGGGGACCCAAAATGTAATTACCATGTTCATATAAAGGCTCAAAACTTGGCTCTATTCTGGGCCAAATGAATCCAGTCCGTAACTATAATAGGACAATTTATTTTATATTTTTTTTTTGCGTGCAATTTGAATGTAATATCAATTTATGTCGATTGAAACCAGAAAAAAAATAATTTATTTCTCTATATATACACGCCGGGGGCGGGAGGGGGGTGTGTGCTTAGCAAGGCAACATCCTGGTACATCAGCGCCGAGGATAGAAATTTTCAAGGACATGGGTAGTGTCCGCTGAAGAGAGAGAGACAGGTAGAAAATACATCAGAAGTGTAGGTGAAAGTGAAAAGTCGTGGGAGAAGTGAATCATACTTGAGTTGAGATGGGAGGAGGGGACAAGTAGCATCATTTTGTTGGGAGGTTCCCAGGCTTCACCCGTTCGCCCTTCTGGTAAGGTAAGGTAAAGTTATCCCTGTAATAGTCCCTGGAGGCCCATAGGGTTGTGAGATTTTGAGGGTTCTACATTGTCTAGCCAAACGGTTCACAGAGGCAATAAGGTTGTCAGCCTTACACGCCGGCCGCCCTTTACCCCCCAGCAAAATTCCTGGCACTCATTTCTGTTAAGAGGCTGAGTCGACTCCAGGGCCATAGTGAGGCTGGAAAGATTAGGTCAATTGAAAAAAATGCACTTCATTGGGACTTGAACCCGCGACCTTCCGGCTTGTACCATAGTGCCTCAACCAACTACTTTGCCACTTGCCCCCCCCCCTTCTGATAAGAATAGTGTGAAAGTGTGGGCGTTAGGATGGTTAGAAACAGTGGCTTCAGACATGCGCCTTGGGGTTTTGATTTCATGAATTAATGTCGAATTGTAATAATTTGGAAAAATAATTTGTCGACTATGATAGGAAAGGGGAGTAATTATGATTACTTTAAATCTGTAGGGTTGCTTGAGGAGCACGCAGAAGAAACTTGGGAACCGTCTCAGCGTTTGCTTGAAGTCACAGCGAAAACTAAGAAAACTCTATCGAGACGGCCGGCCGCAGGACTCAACTGTCATTCTCGGTGCTTTAGAGATTCAGTTCGTACCTTAGAGGAAACACAGCATCTCTATAACAGAGATTATATCGTTTTGCAGTTAGGGAAATAGTCACCACTGTTCTTTACAGGGACCGTCGAGGAATGGGGAATCCCAAAGAGAACCAACTTCCAAATTAACTGCCCATGCTCATCAAACTGGTAACATCCGACTCCCTCGAACAGAATACTGCTTGAGAAGCTGATACTTAATCAGCTAGCAAAATTAATTGAAATTTATGTTTACTGAAGGTTCTTCAAGATGTCCACAAGAGCCCTCCACTGATCCATATTCTAAGCCAGATGAATCCAATCCGCAACCTCATATTGTATTTTTCTTAAAATCTGACACCCTCCCATCTATAGCTAGATCATGAATTAATGTGTTTATTCTTATTAAAAATAGAATTAAAAACTATTTGACCATACTAAAATGGACCGTGAGTAAGCGCAGTAAGTTAATTATTCTAATTTAATTTGTTTTGAACTGCTAATGTTCGTATCGCTGTATGTTACACTGTCGTCAGATGTTGCAGGCTGTGCCAATAAGGAGTCATGACATAGGAGTACGTTTTTTTCTCTGTGCGCCAGTCATCCGATGAGATCATCCACAGTGAGTGAAGAGAGCAACCTGTCTGATGTCATGTTAGTTCATCCTTTGCTTGTCATTGACAGAAACATGATTTCCCTGCCATGCAGCACGCGCGAGGTTTCCTAGCAATTCAATTATTAGGTTCTTGAACACTCTGGGAGAACGCAGCACGGAAATCCCCTGTTGCCACATCTTCCTCACGTAGGAAGTGCGGCAGACCGCCTCTGTGGTCTAGTGGTCCGTTCCTGGCTACAGATCCAGAGGTCCCGGGTTCGATTCCCGGCGCTACCACATTTTCTGAGAAATAGTGGGTCTGGAACGGGGTCCACTCAGCCTCGTGAGGATAATTGAGGAACTATTTCAAGGAAATAGCGGCTCCGGTCTAGAAAACCGTGGGGAGCCGTTGCACTGACCACGCGACATCCTCTATCCGCTAAAGTTGGCATCATGAAGAAATATGATGGGTGAGGACTGGATTCATCTGGCTCAGGAAAGGGACGAATGGTGGGCTCTTGTGAAACTGTTGGGTTCCATAAAATGCATGTAATTTCTTGACTATCTGAGCGACTTCGAGCTTCTCAAGAAGTTAGTAACAGTCTCTTTCAGTATGTAGGTTGCGTCATCGGCCGCGGTTCGATTAATCGAATATTTACGTCAACGACACTTTCTTCCGGTTTAGACATGGCTCGAACAAGGAGTTGTGCGGGTCATGTGATACAGGGATGATGGTGGTGGTGGGAGGGACAGGGAGAGCGTTACCGCTACGCCCGCCCGCCCTTTTAGAGAAATTCCGAGAAAAAGATGATAAGAAGATGATGCAGGAAAGTGAACGGCTGAGAACTAGAAGAGATTAGCCCTTTCAGACACAGGGGATCAGGAAGAAGCCGCCTTTCCTCTTCTTTCGCCTTTTCTTATTCCTTTTTTCTTCCATATTCTTCACAAACTTTTGCTATTCTTCTTGTTTCCATTCTTCTCTTCCTTCCCCATCCTATTTTTTTCCTCTTCCTTCCCCATCTTTTATCTCCCCTTTGTCTCTTCCTTTCCCATCTTTTCCTCCCATTCTCCTCTTCCTTCCCCATCCTTCTTTTTGCCTCTTCCTTCCCCATCTTTTTTCTCTCCTTTTCCTCTTCCTTCCCCATCTTTTTTTCTCTCATTTGCCTCTTCCTTCCCCACCCCTTTTCCTCCCTTTCACCTCTATCTTTTCCTTTTTTGTTTCCCATTTTCTTTCTTTCCCATCCCCTTTTTCTCTCCTCCTCCCCCTTCCAGCACTCAGTCCACCTGCCGGTGCTGCTGACCCGCTGCGTGTAAGGCGGGCTGGCCGTGCCCTTGGGGGCAAGGCGAAACGTGCGGCCGTGCTGTGTGACTCAGCATCCTGTGATGTTGCGACTGCTGGACAGGTGAGGCTGTGCACGGTTGCCGCGTGTTCCCAGCCGTGGTGCCACATACATGTCACGGGAGAGGACAGGAAGAAGGGGACATTAAGAAGAATTTGAAGTAGTAGTGGGAATAGCGACGGGCTGGATGGCCCCGCTTCGATACGCGGCAGTGCAAAACTCTTTTCTCCACAGCGTCCAGACCGGTTCTAGGGCCCACATATCCACCCAGCCAATGGCAACCCGGGGGTAAAACGGCAGGGACGTGAAGCTGACCACTCCAGCTAGTGCCGAAGTAAAAAAAACATGGATATATACATTCACTCCCCCATACGTCTTCATAACGCAGTGATTAAATTAGATAAGCGAAAGGACAACTTTACCTGTTACTAGTTCGGGGGTTTTATATGGTTCCCTCAGTTTTTGGTTAGTTCTGATTCTCCAAACCGCTCGCTCAGCTTCTTTTCAGAACGCGCTTCTCACACTAACCGCTCATTGAAACTGGCCGAGTGTCTAAATTAGATTTGCTCTGTTGTTCCTTGCAGATTACGCAAGCACACAGGTGAATCCATCGCATTCACGATGAACTGGGATGAAGAGGAGACACTGGCGTGGGAGCTGGTGGCCCGAGAAGCCCAGCAGAGGTTCTCGGAAACGTGGGGCAGCCGGAAGTGGGAAGTGTTCCTACAGTCAGAGCGCAAGCTGCTGGAGGCGAGAGTTGGGCTAGCGCTGTTCGGTTTTCCCGAGCAGTCGAACGCGGACTGCTACAGGAAGAAACAAGCGAAGGTTATAACGAAAGTCTGCGATGTGATAGTTCGGAAAACGAGGAAATACGCCAAGTTCGGACAGGTGAAAATGTCGTGTGTTTTCGTGAGTGCTAAAAGTAAGAAAGACAGGTTCACCGTCCCCTTGATCCGTGTGTTGAAATATGATTACGCGGATGACATGTGTAACCACCGCTTCATTGATACCAACTGCAATGTTTACAGGAACTGGGAATGTTTCCTCAAGCAGAACAAACTTCCCCACTGCCTAATATTATACCCCACAAATGGGATATATACCCAAAAGGATGGGAAAGTCCTATTAAGCCGAGGTGAATCCACGCGCCGGTTCTCAACTGCCGTGTCTGTCGTGCGTCCCTGGGGTTCACTGGGGGTCACTGGTTTCGGGTTGGAGTCCTCACGAATCCCTGTGAGCCCTGTGGTGGCAGGCACGGCCATGAAAGGGGCCCTGTTCATTGCTCGCTCTGTCAGCACAAAGAGGGTCAGGGCCAAGGAAGGAGAAACCGCTGAACACGATACTGACTCTGAGCAATTGTGATGTCATTTGCGGGTTAGTGAAATATCCTCTAAAGATGAGAAGGCAAGGCAAGTGTTGGGTTCAACATGGACGACCCTGACCGTGTTACTATTCATTTAAGTACACATTGAGCTTCAGAGTACCTAGGATAACAGATTTGCTCTAAAAATCATGCTGATGTTTTTAGCTTGCATAGTACATGCGGTGCATCCTGTTCGTATCGCCTTCTCTTCGTTTGAAGCATGTGAGATAACATAATCATGCTTGTGTTCTATGTTAAAGAAGGGAGTTGGGGTAACATAGTGACTAGACACCTGGCTAGGGAACCAAGGAATTGCAGTTCGATTCCTGACAGAGCACACAGATTTTCCTGATCACCACAGCCTCCACACCTGCTCCGAAACCCATCCAACCTCATATATAAATGGTACCGGAGGATTTTACCTAGCGGCTAAAGCGGCTGAAGCCTGATGCTTGTAACTCACATGTATCTAGAGCAGATGTTAAGAATGCATGGAGCCGTAACTCCATTTCTCATACGCCATCCTTGCGTGATGAGTAATTAAGCACACAAAAGTTCATTATCTTCCTCCAAAACACCATACAAAAGAACTCCGTGGTTTTAGTCCGCAAGCGAACTATACCGACCGAGCGACCGCCGCTTGTCAGCGAAGTTAGTGCCAACTTAGCGGATAGAGGATGTCGCGTGGTCAGCGCAACGAATCCCCACGGCCGTTAATCTCGGTTTTCTAGACCGGAGCCGCTATTTCCTTGAAACAGATCCTCAGTTATCTACACCATACAAGATCTGGGCAAAAGTGAGCCCCGCGACTTTGTTTTCATTTGCTTTCTTTTTTTTTATCCTGATTAGTGCAAGGGTTGATAAGTTACACGAATAATGTTAGAATTTTTGTCCGGGAGAAGAGAACTCTGAAATCTGCCAAGATTTGTATGTAACGTTGCACACGAAGAAATGCAGAAAGTACAAATGTAACTGAATTTGCATTTAGTCGTAGCTTTAGTTTGTTTATATATCTTTCGCTAGTCAAGTTCTGTGGCCATTTTGTTCCAGTCAGATGCGTAACGCTTCAAATGGCTGAAATCGGCCTGTTACCATGTCAGAAGCGTTTAATATCTTCTTGGCCCTTTGCGTCGTAAAGGGGAATGAGGAATATGTGTTCTGTTACTGGTAATTTGTAACAATTTGATCATACACCTCGCGCCATTTTGTTTACGTGGCCGTCACGTGTTATGTTCATTTGAGGTTCCCACGGCTTTAAGTGTGAAGAATACAGTTTTATGGGTTGTAATTCATATAGTTCGGATAAAGCCAGACATTTCGGAGAAACATATCGCCTCCATCTTCACAGAAAAAACAGCTCAGCCTGCCACCTGCTACTGATGGCCTTTTTTTTATTGCTAGTGGGGTGGGACTAAGTCCCTTGTACTGTGGCCACTTCTGGCCTATTGTACCAGCCCAAGATGATAGGTGAGGGCGATTGTGGAGCAATTGGTGGAATGAAGATTGGCAGAGGAAACCGAAGTACTCGGAGAAAACCTGCCCCAGCGCCACTTTGTCCACCACAAATCCCACTTGACCAGACCCGAGATCAAACCCGTGCCGCCGTGGTGAGAAGCCAGCGACTAACCGCTTGAGCTATGGTGCGGCCTACTGATGGCCTTTGCTTCGCTTCGCTTCCTGTTCGAACGTGAATATATATATATATATATATGGTATGTTCTTCCGAAACTTGGGGCCGTCTCCTAACTACAAGGCATTACAAGGCATGTGATTCACGTTTTAATAAATTAAAATATAGAATATCAGTGTCCCATATCTGTTTTTGCGCAGGTCAGAGATTTTGTAAATTGCCCGCATGTTCGCTAGATAGTAAGAGCTGGCAGTTCTATATATCCCTTTAGCGTGAACATCAGTACACTCTTTAATTGTTTGTTGCTGATAGAATTTAGACATGGCGACTGATATGTGTTCTTTACTTTATGTCGTTTTCGACACGATGTAAAAATTAAAGAAATGGCCACACTTCCTTGTTCTAATGTTGAGAATAAAGGAAATGTGTGTTTCCAAGTTTCTGGTCCAACAATGGCTATAAATAAAAGGACAGCTGATAAGGGGGGAATCTGTGATAGCACGAATAAAACTGCTCAAGATGGAGACAGTGATACCAACCTAAGAACCGTATATTTATTTTTAATGAACGTAATACTGTATTCGTGTCAATGTGAATTATTTTAATTATATTATTTATTATATATCAGTGTAAGGCCCGTTGATGAATCAGCGGGAAGTGTTATCATTTATTGCTTTCCTCTGCCTGGTCCAGTATATTCCTTTACAGCGCTGCATATTATCGAATGATGCGTCGAGGCTGACCTTCAGCGACATCTCCCACGAATAACAAGCAGAAACAGTTAGTCGTAAACTGTCTGCTTTATATATTATACTACAATTCACATATCCACATAGAAATATCAGTACTCCCAGAATAGACTCGATACATTGAAACAAAAGACTGTTCACTCGTTCGTGACATACTCAATGTGTTGTTGCTATGGTAACCTGATATTGCGCAATGACCATGATGAATTTCACCCACTCGTACCTTTTTATGGAAGGATATTTTGTGTGTCTGGTCTATTTATCTTTCCACAGTTGTACTATACATCCACAGGGTTTCCGTGTGCCCAGCGCCTTTCTGACTGTCCCGCGAAAGTTTGTCTCTCTGATACAGTCTCCTAATTAGAAACATTTATTTGTGTTTAGTTCTCGGAACAAAGTCGCCCTCATACGTGTACATTTATTTCTGAGACGAGTATTAGTGCGGCTAGCTGGGACGCCTGGGGTTCGATCCCCGACATCACTACCATATCTACTCGGTACCATTAATGTTTTGCATGGAGTGTTAAGCCAAGCACTCACCTCTATCGGTGAGTCGGTACAGCAACGGGCTCGACTAGTTCGATTCTCAGCAGGGGAAATCTTATTCTGTTCTGCACAGAGTACAGACCCACCTCCATCTAATGACGAGTTCAAGAATGGTGGAGCTATACCTCCATTACCCTACATACTTTTATGTCCTCGTGTTTTATTTCTTAAACACAGACATGTTTTTAATTAGCTGTAGCTTACCTATATTTACTAACGAGATTAAGAACTCATGAAGACACGGAGTGAAGGTACAGATCCACGTATTCTTAACCTCGACACTGAATGGAGGTGAATATTGTGCTTCAATTTCCGGCCGTTTTATCCCCAGGGAAGTAGACCCCATATCCATTTGATAGGCTTGATGGAAAGACTTTTTGCGTCGGGATACTGTAATCAAGGAAGGTTCAGTGGACTTGTAGCACGCATAAGGAAAACCCAGAACGCTTTCCCCTATTGATTTTTGAAAAAATAAAATAAAATTTACCATAATATTAATTTCACAAAATTGACAGTATTTAATAAATATTTTACTCTGAATAAGGGCGATCAATAAAAATAATGTTATACACTTTTTTATTTCTTTTTATTGCTAGTGGGGTGGGACTAGGTCCCTTGTACTGCGGCCACTTCTGGCCTATTGTACCAGCCCCAGATGATAGGTGAGGGTGATTGTGGAACAATTGGTGGAATGAAGATTGGCCGGGGAAACCGAAGTACTCGGAGAAAACTTGCCCCAGTGCCACTTTGTCCACCACAAATCCCACTTTACCAGACCTGGGCAGCCGCGGTAGGAAGCCAGCAACTAACCGCTTGAGCTATGGCACGACCCATGTTATACACTTACACGTAAAATTATATGGAGGTTATCCCAACGAGAGAAGTCCTGGCTCTCCTTGTAAGGAGTCCTCTTCGGATTCTGAGATATCTTTGTCGGAAACGTAACTTCGTGATCTCTGTGTTTCTGTGACAACTACACATTTTATAAGCAAACAAAAAAACAAACTCCGTGGCTTTACTCCGCAAGCGGGCTATACCGACCGAGCAACCGCCGCTTGTCGGCAAAGTTAGTGCCAAATTTAGAGGATAGAGGGTGTCCTGTTGTGAGCGCAACGTTTCCTCACGGCCGTTAATTTCGGTTTTCTAGACCGGAGGCGCTTCTTTTTCATTCAAGTAGCTCCTCAGTTATCCTCATGAGGCTGAGTGGAACCCGTTCCAGGCCCGCTACTTCTCAGAAAATCTGGTAGCGCCGGGAATCGAACCCGGACCTCTGGGTTTGTGACCAGGAACTCCTGACCACTAGATCACAGATTCATATTTTATATTATTGAAAATAGATATTCAAATAGATTCTGAAGGGTTCTGACGATGGTGTATAACACTCAGAATTACTGGGTTTTTGGATTTTGTCCACCGTTCGGTATTCTAAAAACCTGAGAAAACAACATTTCCGAAACTGCACCTGTTTTTCTAAGGGACCTAACAGAGTAGGTGTCTCCCCACTCATCTGAGGTCGGAAACATATCTATTTTCCGAAACGTCGTGTTCTCTATTTTTTTAGAATACCGGACGATGGACAGACAAAATCGAAAAACCCAGGCAGTAATTCTGTGTACAAATATTCAGCACGTAAATTATGAAACAGATATTAAAGCTCTCTCAGTGCGATTGTTCTGCGGCCTGGAGGTTATAGCCAGAAGCTATTGGTTCATCCCGAAGGCGTCGGTGGCCCGATGGAGGTGGAGTTGGAGTGGTGGTTCGAAATCGCTTTTCCAGACATGGCGAATTGCACCAAGACTATGAGATACGTAACCAACATGGAGCCCAGCTGCAACAGAATTGTAACAATCACTGCCTTGTGAAAAATGTCGGTACGTCGGTAGTGACAAAACTTTTGGGCGTTTGGAAATGGGCATATTGTTTGTCCGCTTGTATCAACCCTTTAGGCGCGTCCACATTACTCGTGCTCGTGTGACTCGCTATGCTCGCGAGTAATGTGGATGGTATGACAAGTCACGAGACAAGCAAATTTTAAATTTTTAATTAAAAAGCTATAGTCAATAAATTAAAATACGACTACAGCCTATACACACTACGAGTAAATATACGGATCCTCACGCGCCGAAGCCTGGCGAGCAACTGAAGTAGTGTGGACGAAGATTTACGAGCACAAGTAAAAACCAGACGAGTCACCCGACGAGCACAAGCCTAGCGAGCACGAACACGAGTAATGTGGATGCGCCTTTAGAATCACCGAACGAACGTTTATCAGTTTTGACATTTGGAAGTTTTTAAGTTAAATTTTGGGGATATATTTTTTGTTAATATCGGGAAAGAATAGCGGACATTTTATGTGAAGGCCTAAGAGCGTTTCTGCGCGCGCATCTCGCTCGTCAAAAAATATTCGTCGGAGCGAAAGATGTTTCGAATAAGAGTTTTGGAGACAAGTGAAAAACATTTTATATGCAGTGTAGGTTTTCCGCAAGCCCCAAATTTTGTAGACCATTACAGTTGAGCAGACTCATCCAAAATATTCGATTATCGTTATGAGATTTTTGCACAAAGTTTTCTGTGACCATTTATATTACCGAAACATAACCTAAAAATGTGTTGAGCAACGCACAGTGCTGAAGGATACTGCACACACTTGTTTCAAGTAGTACTCATTCTGCCGGTAGATGGATCTGCCAACAATAGTCTCTAACTCGTGAGCTGTCTTTTATTTTCATGGATAATGCCCATTTAGCAGAGCTTTCTGAAGCGCCTCTTTTGTATATTTCGATGCTGGAAGTTATTATTGGACTGTGGGTAAGAGTAGCCCCTAGTAAATAAGCTTTGCATCTTCCATTCCCCGTAACCCTACGGGATGCAGACATTTTGTTTAACAAAATTGTGTTAACGGTTATACATACGGATGGCAGTATTCCTCTGTTTACTGTGACGTAACCTCCGAAATTGATTTCCGGTGGACAAACGTCGATTGTCATCAAGAAGGCGTCAACCTGCAACACAACAAAGGTAAAGGTTAAAAAAAGGTAAATGTATCCCTGTAACAGGCCGTGGAGGTCCATAGAGTTATGAGGCGTCGAGGCTCCCACATTTTCTAGAAAACCGGCTCACAGATGGCGGTGTGGATGTCAGCCTTACGCTCCGGCCGCCTCTTACCCCTCAGGAAGAGTGCTGGTATTCATTTCTGTTAGAGGTTGACTTGACCCCAGGGCCATAGTGCCGTTGGAAGGATTGGATCAACTGAAAAATCCAATAACTTCATCGAGAATCGAACCCCGTGATCGTCAGGCTTGTAACATAGTGCCTCAACATGCAACACAGCAAAGACTTCGATTTGTACATGTCAACATTGAATAAATAAATTAAAAATATTGATCTTCATTTGATAGCCCCCAGTAGTTAATTTCATAGAGTAACTCAGAAAATCAGGCGACGGGATTTGAACACACAGCCTCCTGCTTCATCTCGGTGCCAGGTTCACGGGGGGACCAGGAGGCAACGCATCAGGCCTTTCGCTTTACGACGCCTTAAGTACCTAGGCTATGGCGTCGATGAATGTTGAATTACAGAGGATTTGGAAGGGAACAGTCCTGTCCTGACCCAGACATTTCCCCCAGCATTGCCTGGAGGGACTGAGGAATTCCGCGAACAACTTAAGATAGACGTCTCCTTAAAGGTCTCAAGCAGGCAACTTTCGAAGTGTTTAACAGAACGAGGTAACGAAATTGCATTCAAGACCTTGTTGTTTCTTAAAATATTTGTCCAAATTTCATCCATCCCCCCCCCCCCCCCGCCACATCAANCAGCTGAAACAGTTACGTCATATCATGGCTGCCCCATTCTGTATATATAACAGGGAAATATTTGTGTTGTTCGTAAGTCGCACGTTTACTCACCTCCTTCGCCACTTTGTCACTCATATGCATTTCTCTGATGTCCAAGAGTCTCCCTTGAAACTTGAGTCCCACCTACAAAAAAGAAATGAATGAATGATTTTAGGCGTTCATGATGGCTCATGTTATGTGTTGGTTCTGCCCTTTAATGTTGGAACCCTGCCGAGTTCTACCTTTCTTCCTCCCCGTTCCTGCCGCAACTTATCCAGAGCAATTTGGATCCCTTCATCGCTTTCCGCGCTGCACCAACAGCCGCTGATGAGGTTAAGCAACATTGCGCTTGGTGAAAATTCGGATGGGTGACCGCCTATGAACACCAGTTGCCGATAACACATCTTTGTTGTTACATTTCGTAGCCCCTACACTCCCTACACATGTCAGCAGGGGCTAAGACCCAATTGAGGCACCATTCCTGTCACTAGTACCGAGGGACCCAGTCTCACCCCACCCCTGACACTCCCTACACAAGTCACCAGGGACTGAGACCCACTTGAGGCCCAATTCCTGCACTCCCTACACATCTGTCATCAGGGGCTGAGACCCTCTTGAGGGGGCAGTACCGAGGGACCCAGTCTCACCCCACTTCTGACACTCCATACACAAGTCATCAGGGACTGAGACCCACTTGAGGCGGCAGTACCGAGGGACCCAGTCTCACCCCACCCCTGTCACTCCCTACATATCTGTCATCAGGGCCTGAGACCCACTTGAGGCCCCATTCCTGTCACAAGTACCGAGGGACCCAGTCTCACCCCACTCCTGACACTCCCTACACATATCACCAGGGACTGAGACCCACTTGAGGCCGCAGGAACCCAGTCTCACCACACTCCTGACACTCCCTACACAAGTCATCAGGGACTGAGACCCACTTGAGGCACCATTCTTGTCACTAGTACCGAGGGACTAAGTCTCACCCCACTCCTGACACTCCCCTCTACACAAGTCACCAGGGACTGAGACCAACTTGAGGCCCCATTCCTGTCACTAGCATCGAGGGACCCAGTCTCACCCCCACCCCTGACACTCCCTACACAAGTCACCAGGGACTGAGACCCACTTGAGGCCCCATTCCTGTCACTCCCTACACAAGTCATCAGGGACTGAGACCCACTTGAGTCCCCATTCCTGCCACTAGTAGCGAGGGACCCACTCTCACCCCACACCTGTCACTCCCTACATATCTGGCATCAGGGACTGAGACCCACTTGAGACCCCAGTACCGAAGGAGCCACTGACCTCGCGGCTGACGGAGCTGGCCCCGTCGCAGACCACGAAGAGCTGGATGCCGGTGATGATGCTGTCCCCGATCAGGTAGACGAGACTGAGTTGGGGCCCCGCGGCCAGGGTGGAGAAGACGCCGTATATGGAGACGGTGAGCATGAGGAAGAGGTAGAGCACGTAGAAGCCGTACGTGTAGCACGTAGCGACGCCGGTCTGACGCACCAAGCGGCTCAGCTGCAGCCACAGGCCCTTGTAACGCGCGACCACGAGACTGGGGCGAACCGCCGTGTCCACGTCCTGCATCACCACGGTAAGGTCGCTGAGTCATGAGTTCCTGAGGAGGGACTGAGGAAAACATGAAAACCCCTGGCCAAGATAGTCGGTATCCGAGGACTTCAAGGAGTGGGACCGCTAGAGGTGATATCGGACCTGCGCAGTTACACCTCCACTCCCCCATACGTCGTTATTGTACAGTGTTTCCTTAATCACAAAGTTAGAATTGTCTTGCAATATTTACTGTTTTAGTGACATGTGTTATGTTGTTTTGACATTTGTTTGCTTTGTTTCTTCCTTCTGCTGTCGCTTGTTCTTTAATTGGCCTTTGGGCTGCTGACTAAGTATTTAAATAAATAAAGAATCGAACTGAATTATTGTTTACTTGTATTTCGCCTACATGTATATTATTTTATATTTCTCATTTGTGTGAGTGTGCTGACTGCGTAATAGACTCCTGACAACACTAACACGTACAAATAGAGTTATTATTATTATAATTATTGCGCCTTACCCTCGGGAATAAGCCGCCGATACACTGAGTAGAAGGCTCAGTGGAACCTAGAGCCGGTCTGGACGCTGTGGAGAAGAGAATAATCTTGCCCTACCGGGAATCGAACCCTGGCCGTCCAGCCACCATAAGGTTGTGAAACGTCGAGGTTCCCACATTTTCTAGGCAATCGGCTCATAGATGGCGGTGAGATTGTCAGTCTTATGCGCCGGCCCCCTTTACTCCCCAGGAATATTCCTGGTAGTCATTTCTGTTAGAGGCTGAGTCGACCCCAGGGCCACAGTGCGGCTGGAAGGATAAGGTAAATTGAAAAATATCCACCTCATCGGGACTCGAACCCACGACCTTCCTGCTTGTAGCATAGTGTCTCAACTACCTACGCTACCGCGTGCCCCCGCTCGCCTACCGCGAACGGTGGGATCAAAAAAATGAAATCACTTCGGAATGAAAAGCAGTGGTTTGTAAGCCGCGATGTCAGTCTCTTATATTGCTAGTGGGGTGGGACTAAGTTGCTTGTACTGCGGCCACTTCTGGCCTACGTATTGTACCAGCCCCAGATGATAGGTGAGGGTGATTGTGGAGCAATTGGTGGAATGAAGATTGGCAGGAGAAACCGAAGTACTCAGAGAAAACCTGCCACAGCGCCACTTTGTCCCCCACAAATCCCACTTGACCAGACCGGGGAGCGAACCCGGGCCGCCGCGGTGGGAAGCTAGCGACTAACCGCTTGAGCTGTGGCGCGGCCCTGTGATGTCAGTAACACAACATATTGGTCACCCCTGCCTTCTGAAAGCTGACGGCCAGGCTCTGTGTTGTCTTCTTCAGTAGAGAACACAGCAAGTACCAAGTGAGTCCCATGGTGTCGCGTAGCAAAGCCTGGTACCAGTAGGTCAGTAGTACCAGGTAATTGTCCACGTTGTTCTCCAGAACCTGGTAAACGGTCTCGCGTCCACACATGACTATTACCAACAGGACACTAAACACCGTGGCCCGTCGCCTGAAGTTCACCTCCAGAACGCGCCCCGTTACAACGCGGTAATGTGACTGAAACACAATCGGGCGTTCATTTAGTGCACATACAGAACTGTTGCGCCATGGAAACATGGTGGAGTGGAGGTACAGCTCCACCATGCTTGAACTCGACACTATATGCAGGTGAGTGGTCACCTTCACGCCCCTGGCGCTTTACCCCCAGGAAGGAACCACCGGTACCCATTGGATACTTCGGACCCAGAGCTGGCCTCGACGCTGTGGAAAAGGGAATCGAACCTGGGCCGTCCAGAACGTAGTTCTAGGTACCAGGGGCTCATTCTCCGACGTTAAAGCGGCCAGGGCTTGAAGCTGATAACTCGCATCCATCTAGTGCAGAGGCCAAGAATGGTGGAGTTATACCTCCACTTCCCCATATGTCTTCATGGCATAGGTAAGGTAAAGCTATTCCTGTAACAGGCCATGGAGACCCATAGGGTAAATCGCGGCCAGCCCGTAAGGCTGACAAACTTACCGCCATCTGTGAGCCGATTGTCTAGATAATGTGGGACCCTCAACGTCTCACTACCCTATGGACTCTCATGTCATAATGCTTAGTTAAGCACAGGGACAACTTTACCTTAAGTACCATTCGATTAAGTTCTGTTTACCTGGAAGGCAGTCCAGCTCGTCATGTATGAGGCGAATCGCTGGGCCTCCCTCCAGTTGTTGAGGGGGATTGCTAGGTCGATGAGATGGTATGCGACGTCTAGGTAGCCCATCACAGCGGTATCGAAGGACTGCTCACCCAGGGCGTCGGTGAAGTTGTGACTATAGCCGAACCAGAGGGCCGTGAGCAGCCCTGAGTACATACACAGGGACCACAGCATCGCAGGGTAGAGGAGCCCTCTGCGTTCTGAAAACGTTATTTCCGAGAGGTGTGCTTGTTAGTTCCCTTTTGGGTTCGACGTATTGGTCCCTAAGGGAATATAGGCAACATCGCCTACATCAATACTGTAACATCCCAAGAAAGGAATTAACGTAAATAAACAACCACCGTGAAAGCATAGAATCAGTAAAAACGTTTGTTAACATATCGCTAGGGGTAAACTGAATGTAGCAGAGAAGGTGCCGGGGCAACTCGATGTAGTGGTTACGTTATGTGTTGGGATTCGAGTCTCTGAAGGGTCAGTTTTTACTTTCCTCAGTTTCCAGGCCGGTTCTGGAACCCACACGGTGTCCCATCCAATGGGAACCAGGGGTTCTTGTCCCTGGGATAAAGCGGACGGTGCCTGAAGTTAACCGTTTATCTCCATCTAGTGTCGAAGTCAAGAAAGGTGGATCTATACCTCCACTCCCCCACATATCTTCATGGCATAGTGCTTCACTGTTTAATAACAATGGCAAACAAAGTGTTACTGCATATGATGAATTGGGTAGGGTATGCACGGGAACAATCATGGCTGTATCGGTGTGTCTGAAGAAATTCACGCCAAAATGTAATCATTGTTGCTGGTCTCAAGACGAAAATTCAAACCCGTGACCTCATGAATTGAAATCATAAGTGCTGAACATTAGAACTGCAAAGAATGCAACCCACTCAACGTTGGTTCTCCGCTCGCGGACTTTTCTACCCTAAAGATGGGAGACGATACGTTCTTCCGAAACGTCGGTTCAAACAAGATATACACAGCGCCACATCGCAGAAGACGGCATTCTTCATACTCACCACCGTGAAAACCTCAAATCTTACATTACAACTGCAGTTTTCCGTACTTGTCTTCTCTAGATATGACACCCGAAGTTGTTACGTAAGAGATAGTTCGTGTTACTCACCACAGGAGGCTCTTCCGTCGACAGGAAGGGTCCGAATAGGCAGGGCCCCCATAGCCCTCAGCATCTTAACTACAGGCGCCATATTAGTGTAGAAGACATCATAGTGCTTGGGGACCGTGTGAACAGGCTCTAGTGGCAGATTTCGCAATCCAAATGGATCCTCCTCACGTGACTTCGACACTTCACGCGTATCTACCAGCCACAACCGCGTCTTGGTATCCATGGTAACGCACTATGCGATCGAAGGCTTGAAGACGCGCTTGTGTTTTGCGTGCTAGAAGAAATATGAATTCGGCAGTTGACAATAAAATGACGCCTAAAAGATGTTAGAAATGACAAAAGAAGTGAATTATTATAATAAAGAGAACAAATGACGCAAGATTATGCTACATTTGAGTGAAATGTCACTTGAAATCTATGACAGGGACAGACTGAAACATCATTATGACAATGAAATATCAGATTGGAACCTCTCTCGTGTTCTGTGATGAATTCTTTATATGAAAATCCGATATTTTCACCTTTTTTTTTTCTTTTTTTTAAATTTCACTGGCAGCTTCAAATTAATCAACGGCAAATTATGTTTAGGCCTTTTGTTACAACGTACGCTTTTTCTTTCTTTAGCGTTTCAGCCCCAATTTTTTTGGTCTCGCCCTACCTCCATGAAAATTCTCCATTTCACTTCGGTTTACTAGATCTTAGACATTCGGTGGGTCTCCTTGGGCGGGTGATCAGCTCGTCGCAAGACCTTTCCCTGTACACAAGCACAGAAAAACGCACACACACAGACACTAAACATCAATGCCTTGTGTGGGATTCGAACCCACGATCCAGCTTCCGAGCGAGCGAAGACAGTTCATGCCTTAGACCGCTCGGCTACTGTGACCGGCAGTGTATAAGAATAATATATAAGAATTCAGTTCGTACCTCACAGGAAACAGATCCAAACCCACGATCCCTGCTTCCGAGCGAGCGAAGACAGTACATGCCTTAGACCGCTCGGTTACCGTGGCCGGCTCTATGGTCACTTTATTTTCTAAATTTGTTAATTAATTATCTTTTAAAGGGGGTGGGGTGTTACTCGCGTGTTTGGCATCCATTTGTTGTGTACGTCACTAACATACCCGTCGATCATAAAACTTCATACTTTCAATAAATAACTGATATAATCGAATTGTCGATAAATCAGTTTAGTTTATTTAAAAATATTTTTGAGCTACATGTTTCGGTCCTTTACGACCATTATCAGGTTTTTGTAAACAACAAAATACATCCACGTTCATTACTAACACGCGTGATTGCTAATAGTCTTGTAGTATAAAAACGTTTCGTTCTCTGTGTGGTCCGTGTCATGTCAAAAGGAAGCAGGTAATTAGTTATTCCCAGGATTTCTTGTATGTATGATATATGGACCGCGTCATAGCTCAAGCGGTTAGTCGCTGGCTTCCCACCGCGGCGGCCCGGGTTCGATCCCGGGTCTGGTCAAGTGGGATTTGTGGTGAAAAAAGTGGCGTTGGCGTTGGGGCGTGTTTTCTCCGAGTACTTCGCTTTCCCCTGCCAATCTTCATTTCACCAATTGCTCCACAATCACCCTCACCTATCATCTGGGGCTGGTACAGTAGGCCAGAAATGGCCGCAGTACAAGGGACTTAGTCCCACCCCACTAGCAATAAAAAGAAAAATGTATGATATACTCGTATTTAGACAAGTATGTTACAGTGACCCACTCACCAGGGTCCGTTGCTACTGACGATTGCTATTAAATACAAAAAGAAACCCTAAGGACAACAGAGAAAATTTGCACAGCTGTAAGACTCACAATTAACTGCCCTCTGCCGTGGAACGCAAGTCTCGACCCTTATCCATTGGTTAGAATTAGTTATCACTTGTTGTCACACGAAGAAGAATCTTTTATTGTACATATTAGAAGTTATGTGAGCAGTAAAGAAAAAGTAGAAACTCGTTATATGTAGGCCATAATTGTCCATCTGCTCCTGACCTTTGATTAATAATTAAGCTTCTGTGCAGCGCTATTTATTCCATATATCCATTTAAATATTATCTCACAAATGTTTGCAGTTTTCCCATCGCCATTATCCAGTATGTCTTATAAAACAAAATGTCTGCCGTTATTTCGTTTTCACGTCACTTTCATACATTCCACCATGGTTGAGCTGTATATAAACCCAAGAGCCATTATCCTTATATAGTGTTCTCCAAAATCATAACTGTTCAGCTCCTAACAATTATTTTTCCCCGTCCAATCAGCAAGCAGATTAATTTCAATGCAATGGTGACTCGCGTATTACAGGGAAACACCATCGGCATTCCCACCGTCAGATGGCGGAGTGATACCATCTCTTGACACAAACACTTTTTATTTACACACGCTGGTGAATTATTTCATGATTTACAGCTGACATTTATGATCTAAACGTCGTATCAAACTATAACCAGCAAAATAATTATGTACACCAACGGGAAACTTTCCCTCTNAAATAGCCTAAACATGAACAAAATGGAATCTAATAACTTTATAATGATGACGTAATTGACTACGTCACTGACAACGACTCACCCACGTTCCCGTGGCACATAGAGTTCAGCATACAATGTTCCCAGTTACCGCATTATCAGAGAGTTTCGTTTTGACATGTATTTTTGCTTTGTAATTAGTATTACGGGGCGATTTCATTTGCGTTAGATTCTTGAAAGCACAGAGGAAATGAAGATACAAAAATTATGTTTTTGTACCTTATCCATCGTCCTGTTTATATTTCAAAACGTAATGTTTCGGAGACTGGATTTTTTCCTCCGTTTCCAGGTAAAAGTCTACTCATTGGACGCAATCGATAGAGCTAGCCCCTATCTACGGACACCTGCACCAACACCAAGATAGGGTATAAAAGCCAAACACGACACTAACCATCTGCGAGAGTTAAGACAAAAAAGATGAAAATATTAAAAAACTCCACACATATGGGGCTTTGCACCAGAGACGTATCAAGATATCTTCATTGAATAGACGAAATACTGCGTATGGTACCAACACAAGAAAAACAAATGTTCCTACTCCATGTACGCTGGACGGAGTTGTAGGTTTTTTTAAGAAAGCAGTTTTCTGGGACTTGGCACCGTGTATATGTGGTGTTCACCGACGTTTCGGAGGAACGTATCGCCTCCATCATCAGGGTAGAAGAAAAAATATAAGAAATCTTAGAAGATTTCTTATATTTTTTCTTCTACCCTGAAGATGGAGGCGATACGTTCCTC